ACGGCATTTTGGATAAAAAACACTTTCCTGTAATCTTAGATGTATCCTAACATTTCTTGTTTTGAATTATCCTATTATCTTTAATTCTTTTTTATGAGTTACACATTTTAAATAAAGTACTGATATTTTTATAATCTTGAATTTGTTGAAAATGGAGCCTCAATACTCACCGTTATATTGAGGATATCCTTGTAGTCCCGACCTCAATCCAATCGGAACATTTGTGCGATGAACTTAAAAGAGCTGTTTGGTCGTACTATTCCACTGACAAACTTTACAAAACTACCGCTAGCATTAACAGAAATTCCTCCGTTAATGCCTAGCCTTAGTTCTTGTAAAGTTTACTTTAAAGGCTTTACTAAGAAAGAATAACTATCCTTATTCATTCGATACGACGAAGAACTCGAGCTGTTATTGCTGCGGGAGGTGTACCTAAAATGCATCCTAGATCTATAGAGCAAACTGGTTGTCGCATTCTTCCCCGCACCTCAATCCTCGGGATCGATGCGATGGGCTGTGCCGTCGTTTACGACCTGCTGCGACGAGTATATGTATAGTGTGAATTATATATGTTCGCGAACGTTTTGTTCGAGTAGCTTGGACACGGCTTTAGGAATACATCTAAGATTGCAGGAAAGTGTTTATTATCCAAAATGCCCGTCTCATTTTTTTCATAGGGTGTTTTAAATTTATTGCAAAAAACAACGTTTTGATTTACCCTGGTATAAACCCACCTAACCGAAGAATATAAGCCATTAACCGTCTTTTGCAAGAGGAAAAAAAAAAGTTTTTTTATTATTTACTAATTTTAAAACAGCAAAAAATATGAATATCACGTTAATTAAAATTATATCAATAACAACCTATTGAAGAATAAAACCGAAATATTACCATAGCAACGCATGTTGACTTAGGACAAAAATTAAAACGAGATTAACCTTGGATTAACCATTATAGAACAAGCCATATCACCCCTATTTTGTTCGTTATCAGCCTTTTTTGGTTGTGTGTAAGTCACTTCAACCTTATATCTTTTGTGAAATCTATGAGTTGTTAAGGAAAAAATAAAGAACTTCCGGGGGTAATTCAATTTTACAATATGTAGATTTCAGAACACGGATCCATTGTGATACTTTTCAGTTATTCAGTTGGTCTTTGGTTAAGAGAATTCCTCCAATAAAACTTCAATTTCGACTTTTTTCGTCAATATTTTTGTGATTAATGTGTCCATAAAAGTGCAAATTAGCTATTTTTTCAAAAGAAAATCAGGATGCTTTCATGCTTTCGATGCCTACGTGACTTCGATTTATGTAGGCGATTGCGTTAGAATTATAAAGTATAGCTACTTATAATATCAATATTAAAGTGTTAGGATTGAACCAAAACTGTGTTGAAGTACGTATGTTAAGAGGTTCAATTTTCGAAATAATATTTTCGGTTTAAAAGTTTCTATTTAATCAGCGTACAGTACAAGGAAATATGATACAAATACCAGAAATCAGAATATTTAACTATAAAATCACACTTCGAACAAAATATTATTGACAATTGAACAATAATATCGTTGTCACCTTTATCAAAATATTTACCTTCGAAGAAACTGTTCGAAATATTGTGCTCGATGTTTTATGAATCGAAATTTTACTAATGTGTAGGTACGTTAGGGTGAGCCAAAAAAACTAACCTATGGTATTTATGGGTTAAAATAAACCTAATAACCGATAAAAAAATATCCCCGGCAGGCAGCATTTTTAGCTCAATTTTAAAAGGTGTCGATGAATATTCAGTTTTCCATTTAAATAACACGTAAAAAATATTTTTTTCCATTAATAGTACTATAACTTTGAAACGGTTTACGATAAAAAAAATTACATCGCGGATTCTTGTAGAGCATAAAATTTACTAAAAAATCTGTCTAAGACTATTTTTTTTTCAATTCAATAATTCGTATATTTGAAAGCTTTGAAAAGTGAAAAAAATCACTAAATAAACACTAAAACTGCATTTTTTCACTTTTCAAAGGTTTCAAATATACGAATTATTGAATTGAAAAAAAATATTCTTAGACAGATTTTTTAGTAAATTTTATGCTCTACAAGAATCCGCGATGTAATTTTTTTTATCGTAAACCGTTTCAAAGTTATGGTACTTTTAATGGAAAAAGATTTTTTTACGTGTTATTTAAATGGAAAACTTTGAATGTTCACCGACACCTTTTAAAATTGAGCTAAAAATTCGGCCTGCCGGGAACACTTTTTTCTCGGTTATTAGGTTCATTTTAACCAATAAATTCGATAAGTTAGTTTCTTGGTTCACCTCAGTGTACCTACGTGTACGTCGCATAAATCACATGCAAAAAATTTCGCTCTGGCATCGAACTTTCGAAATGTCATCTAAAGTGTGTCCAGTGTCCAACGAATCAGGGAATATTTGGACAGACGACATTCAAAAAATGACAGAAAATACAATTTTATCTGTGATTAAAATAACAGACACAACTGTAACTGTAACAGAACCTTTTCGTTGAACAAATTATACACATCATATCCGCCTTAAAAAATTAATAAAGCAATATCCATTGATAATTGGAGGAAAATTTGCCATTGCCTTTAATTCAAGATAGATTTTGGATATTTTGCAACCAGGCCATGGAAGAGGAGTTGAACCCATTATATTACTCAAAAATTAGATGATGACAGCCAGTGATGCCAACTCGTGGGAAATTTCCCGATTCGTGGAAAATTTCGAGATCCGAGGGAAAGGGAAATTTCAACCCATAACAGAATATTCGTGGGAAATTTTAAAGTTCATTTATTATTCGTAAAAAAACAGTTACCGTATTCAGCAAACTGAGTAAATTGAATCTTTTATAATGATAAACGATACCTTACTTTGAAAATCTTGTAAGTTCAATTATTGGCAAAAGTTATATTTATAGCCTATTTCGATAAAGACCTCAGTCTATTGTATTCTAAGACAAAATCATCTCGTAAGTTCAATTATTGGCAAAAGATATTTATAGCCTATTTCGATATTATTAGTAGTCTATCTGTGGACATTTTTTTCACAATTAATAGGAATAGAGTTCACTTTAACAAGTTTTTTGTTTCTCCTGTGAAAAGAGGTGTTGGGTAATTACGAGGTTTTTAAAGTGCATCGGTGGCATCGTAAAGCATTATGGCAACTGATGGTGGGTTCATGCTTCTTAGTCCTAACACTAACATTAGCCCAGGATTAACTACCCATATGCACGTCCCTGTGTTTTTTAACATTAAAATATGTAGCACTTATAGTAACTTTTACCCTCAAAATTTCATTCGAATCACTAAAAGTACTTGGAAAAAAATTATAATAAATCGAAAGATTATTAAGACTTTAACATCCTGTACCTACAAAACAAAGCAGAATCGGACCTATGCTGATATGAAAAATAAATTTTATTTTTACCTGAGGAATATCTCCGCGAGAGATGGCAGGTTTTTTGAAACACCTTGTATATAGTTGGCTTGGAAATAACGATCGATGACATTCCCAATATCATTTTACATATAAAATGACAGCGATCTTCATTTCATTGCTATCGTTGACATCGTTTTCTTTTCGATCATATTGTATTTAAAGATTTTCTATGTAGAAAGTGCATCTAACAAAAATTTGTTTAAACATGCACGGTCTGCAAGAGTCTGCGCAAGACCAATACCAAGATTGGACCCTGCAAGACCAAGACCAGGAATCCCTATTGACTGCAAAATCAAGACCAAGGCAGGCTTGGTCTTGGTCTTGCATTTGCTCATCACTAATTTGAAATACCATACACCACATTAGTACGATGTCCTTTTCTTTTTATTTTTGTCAAGAAAAGTAGACCATAGACCATGCAACCCAATAATAAAAGCGGCAGTCGTTCTCCGTTATGATGTTTCCACGAGTAGTCATTTACATGCTTCCAAAGTTGGATTTATTGTCTGGAGATTAGGCGTTAGGACCAACGATTTCGAAATCATAGTTGTATACTATGAAAATCATATATATGTATACAGGGTGCTACAAATCGGGGTACGAGCATTGGTATCTCGGTAACCGTAATAGATACGAAGATGGTTAAATTGGGGCAAAGTTGCTCCTTGGGATGTTCACCAAAATGCCCTCAAAAAAGTTTAAAAAATTTCAAGGATTGCTGAGTTTTTTGAAAAAAAAAAAACGAATTTTTTTGAAAATTAATTTTAATTTTTCCTGTCGTTACTTTTTAGAAAATCAAAAAACTAATTGCACATTCTCATATCCACTTTAGTAGGGTTACCTGATAGTATTTTTAGATTTTCAAATTAGCTGATAATTTTTGAGATACAGAGGCCAACTTAATTTTTTTAAATACAGATCTGCATTTTTATTTCAGGTTTTGAAAGAACTCGGTCTCCCGAGCACAATGATATGCCACACTTAATATTTTTTTTGTTTCAGACATAATTTGAACACAATTTATTTAAACTAATTTCAGGTCCGGCTTTCAAACTTAACAATAACGTGGGGTAAATCATTGAAGATTGCTTTACGTTATTTGTAAAAGTAAAAGCAATACATTTGAACATTTACAATAAGGATTACAAAATGCATTCGGAAGTATAAGAAGAAAATATATTCAAAGAGCTATAAATAAGATTGAACGAAAAAATAAACTTGTGCATTAAGAAGGGTTGTTACCTTCTCGAACATGTTAAGCATTAAAAACTAGTCTGTAGAAGTTGAAAAATTAATTTTCAATAAAATCCGTTTTTCCAAAAAACTCATCAATCCTTGAAATTTTTTTGATGGCATCTTGGTAAACATCCCAAGCAGCAACTTTGCCTCACTTTAACCATCTTCGTATCTATACGGTTTCCGAGATACCAAATACTCGTACCTCGAATTTGTAGCACCCTGTATCTGTATATAGCCAGTACACTCCTTTTTGTATAATACCAAAGATAATACTAACGATTATTTTCTATTTATGTTCACAGATGTTGTTCATAATGAGGCTACTCTCCATCAATTGGTGCTCCTATAAACATTTATCGGCCTCTAGTTACCACTATCAGACTGAGTGTAATACGGACCAGCCCGGTATATTCGCGTGTTAAACTATTTTTGGCGCTCGCACTGTATACGCGTTAAGTGCTATCGACGTCACAACAGTGGTGGGGATCTAAAGCGCTTGAGTGAATTAAATAGTGCGCCGTGAGACGGTTCAACATCCACTTCCTAGGTGTCTCAGCGAGCGAGCACAGGAACAGCGACAACCACAGACAAAGAGAGAGAGATACATCGAGTTTTGTTTTTGTTTATCCGTTTTTTATTTCCGTTTCTCCTTCCTGATACCAGTCACCGTTGTATGGGTGAGTAATACATCAACAATTTATTTTTGTTTTGTCTCTATCGCAACCATTTTAATTACGATCATTTGTGCGTATCATATTTTTTTGTTCTCCGTCCGGCAATTCTATTGGCTGAATTTGATGTGACGTGTTAAAGGAATTAATCTGTTACCAGCTGTTAGTGTAATTAATTATTGTTATCACGAAAAAATATGTTTATTACAGTTATTATTTGAAACGTTTATGATAGTGTTTAAGACGTTTTATCATTTATCTGTTAAAAAAATGAGACACAATTGTTTTTGGCCAGGAAATCAATACTAAAATTAGATAAAGAGGTTTATTTAACTTTTAAAAATTAAGGTCAAAATATGTAAATAACAGCTTCAAAATCATGTTTTTTTTTTATTATAAACATTATGATATACCGGGTGCGTCTCGAAAGTGGCTCACCTCTAGAACTTTTTTATTTATTCAGATAAAAAACGAAATTTGGTGTGTTAGTATATGACATAAATTAGGATTGATTGACGTATTCAGTTGTTTTTGGTCACTTCCTGTTTCAGAGGGAATGACTACAACTTTTGATTTTTAAACGGCACCCTCGATATTTTTTTACTTTATTCGAAATATATATAATAGAATATATATATATATCATAGAAAATAATATATATATCATAGAAAATGGCACTCTGAATAGAATGACACATCATATGTCAACTTTTGACATTTTCGCTTCAAACAAAATTGTATTTTAAATTTCAATCTAGAATCTAGCCATGGCACCGGCTGTCTTAAAAATCAAGGAGCCATGGAAAAATAGATTCGATCGTCTGATTTTTTCAGTGTCTTGTCCTGGCAGGTTAAAAGATGCCAAAATCGTATTTTTAATCATAACTCAATTTTTTCAAATGGAACGAGGGTGGCTTAACACGTCTGGAAAAAATTAATTTTTTACGAATAATTTGGTACCACACACTTGATATTTCGAGTCAAATTGTCGTTATGAACCGCATGTTACAATTTCAAATAAACCATATATGCGAAAATGTCAAAAGTTGACATGATATAATACCATTCTATTCAGAGTGTCATTTTCTATCCAATAAAGTAGAAGTCTACCGAGTGTGCCATTTAAAAATCAAAAGTTGTAGTAATTTCCGGTGAAACAGGAAGTGGCCAAAAACAATTGAATAGGTCAATCAATCCTAATTTATGTCATATACTAAAATACCAAATCTCGTTTTTTTATCTGAAAAAAAAATTACAGGGGTGAGCCACTTTTGTGACGCACCCGGTATATTAATCTATATTATCTTAATTATATTTATATTTGAAGCCTATTCTACATACCTACATAAAAAGTAGAGCCAATTTCTATTATGATATACCGTATGATCGAAAAAAAACGCCGTCCAGTTGGCTTGGAAATGACGATCGATGACATTCCCCATGTAATTTTACATACATATTATAAAATGACAGCGATCTTCATGTCACAGTCATCGCTGACGCCATTTTTTTTCAATCATACGGGTTTAGATATCTACCTATATTCTTGAAATAAAAAAAATCCTTTATTCTTTCCAAGAAGAAATAAAATAAAACGTGATTAATTATGAACTATATTAGTAAAGAAAGTCAATATTTAACTGTGTTAAGTCAATTAGAGTAGGTTAGTACTTAGAATAAGATTATTTACATTAGCGCGAATTAAGCCTAGAAATGTCGAAAACAGTGCAGAAAGAAAAATATGAAATTAAAAACCGAGAATTCTTTTTTTAGGAATTTGACGTCACGAGAAAGCTTTGAATCATACCTATTTTTACAGTCCAAAATAAATATCGACCAATTTTCTTGGCGTAGAAAACAATATACCAATTTCTGTTCTGACCAATTCTACGTCATTGGTTCTAACATTATTTGTTTATAATTCGCAAATACCATATTTAGCCCTTGGGAGCTCTTTCTTTTAAATTACATAAGATAAAGATATATTTGCCAAAAAACTGGCTATTATTCAGTTCATTTATTGGATATTAAACTTTTAAAATGTTTCCAAAAAATAATACGCAGTTGTTAAAGTTTCAAAAAATAATCTATATCTAATATAAAATAGATATTTGAAATAATAGATGTCAGAGTCTAGGTATTTCACACATTTCATACTTGAGTTATTATTCGTAAAATAAATCAATAGACATTGTGACTATAATTTCATTTTTGCTAAGCAATCTTAGATCAATATGAAAATTAAATAAAACCGTCTCGTTATAAACATTTTATCAGAATGTTGAAACATTTAAATGGACCTTATTCTTTAATTTCTCACATGCAAATTGAAACATATATCATTTAATTAGGTACTTAACAATTTAACCATTAATTAAAAATTAATCTCCATAGATATATTATATCTCTCCATAGATAGGGTATCTAAGTAAAGGATTGAGTTAATTAATTTTTTAAGTAACTTATTTTTACAATATTTGTTAATATTATTTGCTTTTGATTTTGAACATTATTTGCTCTGATTATTGCCAAACTATATTCTTTTCAAAATTAGTTTTACAAATAATATTTAAACCACAAATACACCACGAACATAGTAAAATTAATTCAATTCAGATTTGCAGCGGACATCAATTATTACAAATAAGCTATAAGAGTGCGTGACGTGATCTATCAATTGCGAAACATGACGGAGTCCTAAACCTAATTCATTTAAAAATTAATTTTCTGTATACAGGGTGCTACAAATTCGAGGTACGAGTATTGGTATCTCGGTAACCGTAATAGATACCGACATGGTTAAATTGGGGCAAAGTTGCGCTTTAGGATGTTCACCAGGATGCCATCAACATTTTTTTTTATTTTTTGGAATAAACGGATTTTTTGGAAAATCATTTTAATTTTTTCCCGGTGTTACTTTTTAGGAAATCAAAAAACTAATTGCACATACTCATTGCAACTTTATTAGGGCTATCTGAAAGTGTTTTTAGATTTTCAAATTAACTGATAATTTTTGAAATACAGTGGTCAACTTAATTTTTTTAAACACGGACCTGCATTTTTTATGTCATATTTTGAAAGAATTCGGTCTCCTGAGTATAATGATATACCACACTTAATATTTTTTTTGTTTCGGACATTTGAACATAATTTATTTAAACTAATTTCAGGTCCGGCTCTGTTTTTTTAAGATTTAATCTATTAATCGTTACAATATTGCTAAGCTTTCAAATTTAACAATGACGTGGGGTAAAACATTGAATACGGAAAATCAAATGCAATAACAAAGGATTAGGGAGGGTGTTAACCCTTTCGAACATGTAGAGCATTAGAAACTAGTTTATAGAAGTTGATTTATTTATAATAACTACGATTAATATTATGAATATTATTAGATCGTACACTGAGATAAAGTTTGACTGAGATTTCAAATTCACAATAAAAAAAGTTAAAAATCATATCTTTAAATTGCTGTCTCTGAGTGTTTTATGGCATGAGAAATTTGATTTCATTGTGAATATAACTCCTACTTATCGGGAGCGCCACCTACATGTTTTTTAACCGATTTGAAAAGTAATAACTTTTCGTCTGTATTTATATAAAACTAGTGAGTGAAAAAATATACATTTCCGTAATTTTCTACTTAAAAATGTCTCTTGTTAAAAATCACTACAAGCAACCGTTTTCAAGATACATATTTGGAATTAGTCTGGTTCACATGTATCATTTTTAGTAAAATTTTTCGTTATTCTCCGAAAATTACGAATGTGGTGTCATTCGATTCGTATTGTTACCTAGAAAGTTTAAGGAAAAGCCCGAAAAGGCGCTGAGAAAAATTACTAAAATTGTTAACAATTAAGTGAAAAAAAGGGGGGTTATGTTTTTTTTAATATTTCGAAAAATATTGAAGATTTTCGAAATTTGAAAAAAAGCCAGGAGCTAGAACTTTTTTTTAGTAAATTTCCTCATCTTTTTGGATTTTTTTTCAAATTTTGAAAATCTTCAATATTTTTCGAGATATTAAAAAAATACAAAAACTCCCAGTTTTTTCACTTAACTGTTAATAACTTTAGTAATTTTTTCAGTGCCTTTTCGGACTTTTTCTTAACTTTCTAGGTGACAATACGAATCGAATGATGCCACATTCGTAATTTTCGGAGAATATTGAAAAATTTTGCTAAAAATGCCAAACCAAACCAAACCAGACTAAATGGAGATAGTCAATACATATTATTGACAAAAAATAAACATGTTGACTAAATAGTTATTTGAGTGAAATGATAAATTTGGGAACATTTTATTTTTTAAGCTAATTATGAATTTTTCTGAAAAAAAAACGATAAAACAGTTTCTGTTGAATTTTTGACACAAAAATATTTTCAGACTAATAACTATCCAGTCAACATGTATAATTTTTGTCACATATACTACTGACGTCGAAATCGAATTTCTCATGTCAAAAAACATCCAGACACCAATTTTCATCCAAATATCGGAGTTAATTCAAAAATTGTTTGAAAAAAATCGAAATAAAAATGAGATTTCTACACCCCGTATGTCCGAAACGAAACATTTTAGGACATACATTTGTTCCAACTATTTTACTTATTTTTATCTTTAGAATATACTGCCGAAGTTTCCCGAATACAATTCGGACCACCCTGTAGATTATTAATGTATTTTTATGTACATTTCAGAGCGTGAAAAACCGTTACGAAATCCTCTGCAGACGCTAGATATACCCAGCGTTGCGGTAGGACCTGCTGCGAACTCCGCAGACCAACATGAAGGAATCGGAATTCCCCTCGTCGCTACTGAGGAATCCTTCCGCGACTCGGGAGTGCCTCAATTCGACGGGGTGGTCGAGAGGGCCTCAGCCTCACCCACGGTGGGCCGCTGGGGCTGCGAATGGCCGAGTTGACTCGAAACAGTTGGAAGCTGTGGTCCAAGTCCGACCCTCTTAGGTAAGTTAAGATAAATGTTCATATTTATACAGTCCGCATTAAAAGTCTGCATTAAATGGGATTCTTACTAGAGACAGGTTAAATTAGATAATGCAATTATTTTTTGCCTGTCTAAAAAACAAAAGTGAAACCGCCATAGTTGCAGGACTAGGGTGATACCTGTCAAACTTAACATTTAATAATTACATAAATAATAATTAATAATAATAATTACATTTCTTTTTAAAAATGTCGAGAAGTATACCCCCATTTATTAAAATTTTGAAGAATGTTGCTTGAAAATGTTGTTTAATATTAGGTACAATTTTATCTACCTTCTAAATTTTGTCACTCTGCGATAAGTTCTGTTTTTTTTTGTTAATTTTTCGAATATTTTGGTAAATTCCTGTATACCTATCTATGTACTTTTACGTTCCAATGCAAAAATATTTATTTACAACCACATATCGTTGGCGTACAGCGAAAATCCAGTTAATCACATTTTTGGTTGAATTGGATTAAACACACCACTATGTCCAGTTTTTCACGGTCTTTAACATGAAAAATATATTATATTATAAGGATGCCGAAATTGGACTTAATGGGGTTTTCATGTTAAAGACCGTGAAAAACTGGACATAGTGGTGTGTTTAATCCAATTCAACCAAAAATGTGACTTAGTGGATTTTCGCTGTACGCCCACGATATGTAATACTGACATTACTGACTTTTAAAAAATTTGAAAGTGTCAAATCATCTACATTTCTTCGCTCTTCCATTTCCCTCACCCGGTTTTTCTTATTTTTCGCCTCATTTAATTAAGCAAAATATTCCTGTAATGTCTTTATTAAATACTTATCTAACATCAACAAAAATAAACAAGAAGATTAACTATAATAATTAAAGATTTTAATACATTTATTTGTTGAAGGTAAAAATCACAACCTACATTCTGGCGTTTTAAAAAAGCGACGAGTTTGTGATATTTTGATATGTCAGTCATTCCTTAATTCTAGCATTGTCAATTCAATCTATTTCATATCGCCCCCTACTTTTCTCTGGAAGTAAACTGGCTTCTGCTCTTTTTGCACCTTCTGTCAGTTCTGGTGGAGTACCAATATTAAAGTAGTCTTCATTATCAGAACTTTCCGACAACATTCTGGCTTTCTATGTTACATAAATTCGAAAAAGCGAACGAGAAATTCAAAACTGTCACTTAGTTGTTTGTTTTGCTGTTGAAGGTTTGCACCATAACAACCACTGGTACCGGTAACAGAGACCCGGTAACTATAGATATGGAAATGCCAAAACAGAAAACGACAAATTTTCGCATATTTATTTATTTTTTAAATAAAATACTGTCCCTATTTTTTAATTAATGATGTGGTTGTAAATAAAATAGTATACAAACCTCGGAGGAAAGTTTTCATTATTGTCTCGAGATTTAGTTTATTCTCTCCACAGTAATGAAACACTTCTCTCCTCGGTATGTAATATACTATTAATATAACCTAATCTGACAAGTTAACGACATTTTGACTACAACTGTTTATTTTAGTTCAATGCCTAATATTTTTGATAATGTACGCTAGAGATGGGTAGAGCCCATATTTTTTTTGGAAGGCAGAAAATGTGAAACCAAACAACTTCTTTAAACAACATTATTGAATATTTTAATAAATTAGGGCACTTTTCGACATTTTCAGTAAAAAATATTACTTTGACCAGGTATCTAAACCAATTCGCGTATCTGTGATGGTAGAAGAATGTAGAATAATTCTACATTCTACAACTGTGATGGTAAGTATACCTTCATAGTACCATTTCAAGTTTTTAGACCAGCGAAAGCTATAGCAACTGCTCAACCTTAATTTTACCTATCTCTATAGTTTTTTATGCAGACCAATTCCTTATTCATGGCATACAACCACCTAAATATTTTTTTCATTGTTAGGGTCTAGGGGTTCCCCTGATGAAGGGGCTGAATATAAAGCATCACCCCAAGCAACTACGCACTCCATAGATGACGGTTCCATCGCTTACGATCAGGTGTATGGGTACTGGCCGCCGGCGCATCCATTACCTTTGCCAAGATGGGCAGCTAAACCCGTCGAACCTTACAAGTAGGAATATAAACATATATTTTTGAACAGAAAATTTCTTCAATGTTTATACTGATGGTGGCGCACCTCATTCGCCTCGGTTGAAAACGGAAAGATGTATAAACAAAATATTTTATGGGTATATGTGAGAAGACAACCGTTCATAATTTAAAATTATTTTGAAAAAAAGGGTATGTCAGAACTAAGATCCACACCAAAGATATATTTTTTCTTATGGAACACCCGTTATTTTATTTCATAATTGGATCCTTGGACACAAATTAAGGCATTTATTATAAGGGTTATATATGTTTACACGCTTTGGTTTTTGAGATATTTAAAGATATTTAAATATGCATGCTATAATAACAAAAGATTGTCAACACCCTGTACATTGTTTTTCAGAATTAATTCTTGTGCTGACTTTTAAGCCAACGAAATAACCTTTACTGAAAAATTTGATTGCTTCGTTTAATGTATACAGGGGTATCAACAATTGCTGGTCAATTTTAAATATTTATTTTACATAAAAACTTCGTTATTTAAAATACAATACCCTCTATTTTTTAAATAAATCTAAGCAGATTCATATGCTCTTCCAAACAATATTAGGGTTTTCTATACCTATCTAGCTCAGATACCTCAGATATAGCAACCAAGATGGCTAGTGTCGTCGTGGCAAGTTTCTAGTGACAGCTAGTAGCTATTTTCAAAATCGAAATTAATTTATCCACTTTATTTAAATTTTATAGCAGTTTACTTTTATTTAGTTTATCTACAATAGTTTAATAAATAAAATTTATTATAGATGTATTCTATCAAGAAAAACGAACATGTAGTTTTTTGAGTTATTTTACGATGACTTGTAGATATATGGATTTTTTATATAAATATATAAAGAGCCAATTACGGAAAATTAATTTTCTTCACTTCCAACGACAGGTTTCTGCCCTATAAGCTTTTTTATAAACCACACTCTGCCAAATAGGACAAGTAGTTTCTCAAAGGAATGCTTATCAGGAAGATTCCTATTTGGATATCTTTGAGCATAAGCCCTTTTGGCCAAGAAGCAATTTCCCTCACAAAATAAAATCACTAGTAACATTTTCATTCATTCCGCTAGCAGATACTGCTTTATTTTTCTTGATAAAATAAAATAATGAATACTTACTTATTAAACAATTATGGATAAATTTAAGTAAAAACTGGTATAAATCTAAATAATAATGTCCATAAACTAATGTCGATTTTAAAAATAGTTACTGTCACTAGAAAATTGCCATGGCAACACCAGCCATCTTGATTGTCATTTTATTGAAAAATCGTTTTTTATTATGTATAAGTTTTTTATTATATTTTTATATGTATAAGAAACCCTAATATAGTTTGAAAGAGCATTTAGATCTGCTTCGATTTATTTAAAAAATACAGGGTGTTGCATTTGAAATAACGAAATTTTTATGTAAAATAAATCCTTAAAATAGATCAGCAATCTTTGGTACCCCTGTATAAATTTAAGGAAGTAATAATATTTTTCAGTAAAGTTTATTTTTCTACCTTAAAACTCAGCACAAGAATTAATTCTGAAAAGTAATGTACAGGGTGTTGATAATCTATTTTATTATAGCATGTATATTTAAATATCTTTAAATATCTCAAAAACTAAAGATTTTAAACATATTTAACCCTTATAATAAATGCCTTTTTGGGTCTAAGAATCCAAAAATTAAATAAAATATAGGGTGTATGTTCCATAAGAAAAAATATAACTTTGGTTTGGATCTCAGTTCTGAATCATCCTGTATATTTCAAAATAATTTTAAATTATGCCACATTGCCTCCCCACATATACCCATAAAATATTTTGTTTCTACATCTTTTCGTTTTCGTATAATCAACCGAGGCTAATGAGGTGCGCCACCCTATTACATGACTTTTAGACTTGCTATCAGATAACAATTACTCTTTCTATTTTAAAGCTAATCAGTTTTCTACAGCCAGTAATTTTATCAACGTTTTTCATCATTTGTTCCAGGTTGCAAATGAGAGAATTTGAGGATTTGGCTGGCGACATTGAGATGGAGCTGCGAAACCTATTGGAAGAGCACAATTACGATACAGTTGGCAACTTTTTGGAGCTGTACCACAACTTCAAAAAAAGCCACATGAGGAGTGCAATTGAGTTCTTCCACAAGTAAGTAATTAAAAAAACTACCATGAAGTAATTCAAAGTTTATCAATTGCAAATTTATACTAAATTATATTTTTATTTGTTAGATATACACCAAGAATAACAGCAGAACATCATACCTGTGTGGGCCTGGCTCTGGAATTGCGTCACAGGCTTATCAAACTCGAACAGAATTATCCCGATCTTAGGAAACATCTCTACATAGTATCGTGCGAGGAAACGATAGATTCGGTGGATGAATACACCGCCTTGAAGGATTCTTTCGATAACGGCTTATCCATTTTGGAAAAGGAGCATTGTCTTTTATGTCTCAAGTTCGAAATTAATGGCAGGAATGGTGTGCTACTTTGCGATCCTGGATATCACGTAGCTAGAGTTGTAACCGTCATGGCCGACAAAGGTTATCCTCACACCGGTAAGATAGTTTATTATATCTTGAAGGGAAACAATAATTTATAAATTGTTTATTCTAGGATGGTTCATTCAGTCTGAAGAAAACAACATCAGGAAAGAGTACAACTACTCATTGTGTGGTTTGAAAGATACGTTCGTCCAATGGGACGAGAGAACAATGAAAAACGGCGTTCAAGAGACCTTCACTGGTATCATATATGTGGAGAGACCTTATTTGACAGCTGTTGATGTTACCGAAAGAAGAAATCTTACTTATACTTTCAGGTAAACTGACGTGATTAATGAGCACTTGACGATAATAACTAATTAACGCTATAATTGCAGGAGTCTTTTATCTAGAGATCAGAAAGGTAATCTAGTTGCGGGCGTTTACTTCAAGGTCAAACCTAAGATCGACGAATTTACGATATTTTATCAAGATATGGGCAAACAAAGGATGAAGATAACATTTTCTTCTCTTACAGAGCCAGAGGTTTGTATATTCATATATTTAGAAAATTTTGTTAATTGTTTATTTAATATAATATTATGCTTTTTACCATCTCCACTAAACATAATCGAAAACGGAGAAACAGTTTTTATATTATATCCTAATCTCACTAATCTGTATTGCAATGAAATAATGAACTTCTTATACAGGATGTTTCAAAAAACATGTGCCATCTCTCGTGGATGATTCCTGATCAACACAGGACCTGTTCCGCTTTGTTTTATAGCTACAGGGTGTTAAAGTCTTATTTTTTTTTTGGATTTATTATAATATATATACAGGGTGCTACAAATTCGAGGTACGAGCATTGGTATCTCGGTAACCGTAATAGATACGAAGATGGTTAAATTGGGGCAAAGTTGCCTTCTTGGGATTTCCACCAAGATGCCATCAAAAAAATTTTAAAAATTTCAAGGGTTCCTGAGTTTTTTGGAAAAAAAAAACGGATTTTTTTGAAAATTAATTTTATTTTTTCCTGTCGTTACTTTTAAGAAAATCAAAAAAAATAATGGCACGTTCTCATAGCCACTTTATATCGGCTCTGATAGTATTTTTAGATTTTCAAATTAGCTGATAATTTGTGAGATACAGAAGCCAACTTAATTTTTTTAAATACGGACCTGCATTTTTTATTTCCGATTTTGAAAGAACTCACTTTCCGATTTTGAAAGGTCTCCTGAGTACAATGATATGCCACACTTAATATTTTTTTTTGTTTCGGACATTTGAACACAATTTATTTAAACTAATTTCAAGTCCGACTCTGTTTTTCTTAAATAATCTATTCATATTCATCGTTACAATATTGATAAGCTTTCAAACTTAACAATGGCGTGAGGTAAAACATTGAATATTGAAAATCAAATGCAATAAAATAATAAAAAATATTATACAAATGAATACATTACTTCACGTCATTTGTAAAAGTGAAATCAATACATCTCAATATTTACAATAAAGAGTACAAATTGCTTTCGGAAGTATAAGAAGAAAGCTCAAAGAGCTATAAATAAAATTGAACGAAAAATAAATATAGGGAGGGTGGTAACCCTTTCGAACATGTAGAACATTAGAAACTCGTTTGTAGATTGATTTATTTATAATAACTACGATGAATATTACGCATATTATTAGATCGCACACTGAGATTTCAAATTCACAATAAAAAAAGTTAAAAATAATAAATTGCTGACCTCTGGACATAATTTATGAATCTTCCAATTGGCTCGATTTTCCATATTCAATGTTAGGCAATATAAGTGTGGCATATCATTGTACTCAGGAGACCGAGTTCTTTCAAAACCGGAAATAAAAAATGCAGGTTCGTATTTAAAAAAATTAAGTTGGCCTCTGTATCTCACAAATTATTAGCTAATTTGAAAATCTAAAAATACTATCAGATAGTCCTAATAAAGTGGCTATGAGAATGTGCAATTAGTTTTTTGATTTTCTTAAAAGTAACGACAGGAAAAAATAAAATTCATTTTCAAAAAAATCCGTTTTTTCCAAAAAAACTCAGCAATGCTTCAGATTTTTAAAACTTTTTTGATGGCATCTTAGTGAATATTCCAAAGCGCAACTTTGCCCCAATTTAACCATGTTCGTATCTATTACGGTTACCGAAATAGCAATGCTCGTACCTTGAATTTGTAGCACCCTGTATATATCGTAGTCTCATAGTGTATTCCGTCTTTTCATGAACATCCTAAGTCATTTCATGAAGCGTCGGTTAGGCGTTTAGTTATGTTATTAGGTTAGTTTTTTTTCATTAAGTGACTAGGATCTTCATGAAATGATGGAATACACTATGAGACTACGCCATATATAAAGGGTACTTTCCATTAGGGTAGACAGTACTACTGGTGATACTTCTTTTATCCGTATAGATACAGTAATCTCAATAAATGAAAATTAAAGCTAGGACTTTTTTATGCAAAAGAGGTGCTCTTCGTTTAGTTCGAAACATTGAACGATTTTCAAGATATCTGCGTTTAAAGGTTTTGATGCATCGATTTTAGCATTATTACTACTCTCTACCCTTATTATTATTACTCTCTACCCTTACTATTATCACTCTCTACCCTAATGGAAAGTACTCTTTCAGGGCTGTTACGGAATTTTGTCACAATCGCCATTCGCTTTGTCATTAAAATGCCTCTAAGAGTACCAAATTTCAGGAAAAACGGTTTACCAATGTTTTTAAAAATAAACAAAATATATTATTTTTATTTAACCTTTCGAGGGCTGTATTCTTCGGAAAGAATTTTAGGGCATATATTCATAGAAACTTTTTGTTTTATTTTTATCTGTAGAATCACCCACCAAAGTTAGATCCACAATTTTATTGGCACCCTGTATAAAGTCCCTTAGACTAAAAAAGTACATATTTTCAATTTCAATTTTGGTATTTTTCTTTCACGTTAAAAATGTAAAAATTATTTTTTTTACAGATTAACGAAGACACTTTCAGGAAAATCTCAATAGCCAATGATCAACTGAGGATGGCTAAAGGAAAACTACTTCATTTATTACAACAGTGCGGTGAACTACTCAGGGATGAGCATTACCTGCGGGAGACATTGGCAGTTGAAAATCTTATCAACGTCATGTCAGAAAACAACTAATTATTTCAAAATATATGCTTTTGTCGTGCTATTTTCATTTTCTTTGCATGCTACTTAACCGTCTTCTTATTTTATCTAGTATTCTATTCTTGGTGTTAGTGCGTATTTATTTCTAACCTCTTTTAATCGTATTTGCATATTTCTATGTCAAATAGAACACCTTGTATAAAACATACATTTCTATATAAAAATCTAGATATCAGCAATATAGTTTAATTACCTCCAACTAGAGATGGGCAAAACTGCGATTTTCCAATCGCAATTGAAACTGCGATTGCGATTTTTAAATCGCTGCGACTGTAACCGGCGATATTCCGATTTTAATATTTAAATATTGTACTAGGCATTCTACTCAAGGTGTCATTTTGAAGACGCCAATCAATCTTAATTTCTGTCATATGCTTACATACCAAGGAAAAAAATATTAAAGTTATCCAGGCGAACCACTTTCGAGAAACACGCGGTATATTATGATCTTAGCCCTAGAAAATAATACCTTCTTTTTAAATAAATAAAATCAGAGAAAAAATTTAATCGCAGTTTACTATAAAATGCTTCAATGGACAAAATTACATTCGCAACAAAATCGCAAATCGCAACTTCTAAAAAATCAAACTCACTGATATGATCGCAAATCGCAACTATAGTAATATTGGTTGCTTAAATTGAAACTCGCAAATCGCAGCAAAATCGCAACTATAGTAATATTGGTTGCCTACATTTAAATAAAATCGCAGTCGCAGTTTCCTATGAGAACCAAACGCAGGTTGCGATTGCGATTTTAAAATCGCCGCGATTGAATTGCACTTTACGATTTGTTGCTCATCTCTACCTCCAACCTCATTTTTCTTTAAAACTACTTTACATTGAAGGGTAAGGGAAAAAAACAAATATGTCTATTTTATAGTAATTTTTAAGTAATCAATTTAATCTGTTGATAAATAATAATTGTAACTGAATATAACAAACGATGTCCAGATAATAACGCATACAGTAATAACTTTTTGTATCTTTCTTTAACATGATATTTGGCAACATTAAATCAGTTTTCTCTGTAAAAGTCACAGTTTTGTGACATCATCTTTTTTCCCCCTTATCCTTCACATAATTAAGTTAATAATAAGACGTATCTCTTTATACAATGTGTTCTGATTTGGGTCTTTTAATAATAAATAAATGATGTTAAGAAATCCTGTATAATTATACCATATGATCCAGAAACGAGGTCAGATTGATTTGTTTGTAAACGAAGATCGACGACATTTTATAGTTAGAATTATATGGTAAATATCACTGAACTGCTGGATGATACAAAATTATACAGAATATCCTATTTCAAAGTAATTTATCTGTTTGCTTGGGGATAATATTTGTTAAAAGAAATACAGGATGTTTTAGTTTTATATTATATTTCCAAAACTAGAACAACCTGAATAATTTTAACCTGATATTAGTTATTTATATTATAATTATGTTAAATCTATAAATTAACAAAAAAGGGGACTTGGACACTATTGCTACATTATTAAATTAAAAAAATAGCTTTGTTTCCTGGTTTAGGTTTTAGACGTATACTTATTTAAAATAGCGCATAGTATTATTAAATTGCATTAAGATATAGATGGGATCCAACCCCTTCTTTTCTATATTTTAATCGTTTTAAATTAATTGTAATTATTTTAATATATTTTTTGTTGTGCTTTATCAATAAACTTTTGAGTTAAAGTTTGCATAAACTGTTATCATTGATACCTTCCCTATAATTCATAAGAATATGCCAAATATGATGTTTTTAATGCTAGTGATTTGCTAGTATACCATCTACCCACAGTGTCGTGAGTTCTGAAAGAGGTCGAGCACAGCCTCCACAAAAAAAAATCTTTTACCATTTTTAGTACTTAAAGTCTATTTTTCTAGTATTGTAGCATTTAAAATGTTTTTTTGTCATACGCTCCCAAAAACAGCTATTTTACGGACTCATTTCAGTCCGTAAAATGTTTCTTTTTCGGCCTAGGCCGTAAAGGTCGTCATTAGTGAAGGGATCACTCGAGTGAAAAATACTCGGTCACCCGAGTATTCATATCCTCGGTATGTCTCGAGTATTTTTGATTTATTACTCGGCACGCAACTAACATCGAGTGTAGCGTACCGTCCTCGCTACTCGCGAGGATACAGGTGATTTACGATTTATGCTGAAACCTTTTTGTGTCGATTCTGTTTAAAGTAAGTACCTAGGTACCTATTTAAAAGAGGCTTTTAAATTAAAATATTCTTAAATTACAGTCACAAACAAGACATAATCATGTGGTACATTTTTTGGCCTAAGACAAGCATATTTTCTATACAACTCAACTGGATTGACAACGTTCCTTCTGTTCACCACCGGAAACACTCTTTGATATTAGTTTTTGTATCCGCAAGGGTAACTAAAAGGCAGCTGTTGTCTTTTTCTATGATGTCTTGCACTCGTAGAGAGTACAATTCTTCTCTACATGCTCCACAAAGGCCAATGACAAGAGCTACCTAAAATCAAATACAATGGAATAAGAAACCATCTATATATTTTAAAATCATTATCGCAAACTTACCTTAGTAAGTAAATAAGTTTCATCACTAGCCGTGGCCAAAAATCACCGATCTCTTTTATGGACAAACCTTAGACTTTTTAGGCTCGTAACCAACCGAATTCCTCTTCAAAAAGCAATAAGTTTTGGAAATTTGTCAATATAAATATCTTCTTTAACACTTAACACTGCTCTCAGCATGGAATATTTCGACCAAATTGACGATGGTTTGAATGTTTGTGACTGTAATTTAAGAATATTTTAATTTAAAAGCCTCTTTTTAAATAGGTACCTAGGTACTTACTTTTTCGTGGAAATAATTTAGCAATACATCTTCATTTACAACGAATACGCCATTTTTGTCTTTCCATTCATTAAAAACATCATATTCTTTCTGGTAAATGGCACGAGACTTCACAGGAAGTAAATCCAACACGATTTCTTTGGCCTTATTAGCAATATGTTCGGGATTTTGGAACATTTTAAAATTGTTGATGAATTTGTGTGATTTTGTGACAAATTTCGAATGACATGTCAAAATGCGATGAAATAAACAAACTCGTTACTAAGATATGAATTTATAAGCCAACTTTTTCAAACATTATAATTTCAAATATGGAAAATTTGCAAATATGCGTTCTAAAAAACTGTAAAAAGCGTATGACAAAAAATAGTGTATGTAACACGTACCTAAATTATGTTTTTTAGGACTCATCTACTATTTCGGACTCGGCTAACGCCTCGTCCGCAAACAGTAATGATTCGTCCTAAAAAACATCATTTTAGGTACTAGTTACATAAATAGCTATTTCCTCATTGTGTTTTAGTTACTTAAAGTTTATGTTGTACAGGGTGGGTCAAATTCGACGCTTTTAAAAAACGCTCGGAAACATCCTTTTCTATAGGAAATAGACAAAACTAATATCGGTGTCTGGAGCTCAATTTTTGTCAAAACATGGTGGTGAAAACCGCATATCGATATCTGTTACCGTTTCGGAGTTACGGGGTGTTTTTCAAAAATATGCATTTTTAACAAATCGCTGTAACTTTTTTGCTCTGGAAAATTTTGTACTTTTATGAAAACATTTCCAAAGCACCTTTTACGGAGAATTTAATGGTTTAAGTATAATTTTTTAAAATTAATAATTTAAGAATTATCAACAGAAAATTTGATTTCTTATACGAGACACCCTGTATATTTTTAATTTATTGAAAAGAATTTAAAATTATCTTTCCAAAAATATAACACACTTGATATTTTGCTCGATTCCTCTTCGAGATATAGAGTATATAAAAATTCGCCCGCTTTAATTAAGTAGGCTTTGAACGGCACCAGCTGTAATGCAAAAAATTCTAGCTGTGCGAATCAATTAAAACGAAAATAATATTTGCTATGAGAGATGCAGAATTTTATAACAATTTAAAATATATTTAACCAATCAATACATTTAAACTATATCCAATAACAATAAAAATAAATAGCAAACCAAGACATGAGATTTTGCTACAGGTGTTCGACATATCGACCGTTTTCTGTTCTGGACAGACGGTGCCGTTTTTGAACATTTCTCGGGAATTCATTAACTCAGTAGGGGTGAAAGATACCCTCTCATAACTGCTAAGTATTTCTAATTTTGTCTAGAGTATACGGAAGAATAAGGAACCTTTATTCTTCCGCAAATATATCCATAGGATTAGATCCATGGGCACTAAGTCAGGCGGACTCGACGGCCAACGGCTGGGATCTTGGTTAGCTATTCAATTGTTCTTGAAATTGGCTGCAAAAATTTGCTGATAACTTCAGTGTTCTGAGGCGGTGCGTCGTCTTGCTGGAAAAATATGTTTTCGAGTTCCATTAAGGGCATATCATCAATAAGGGGTCCAAAGCCTACTAGTTAAAAGTGGCGAACGTTTAAATATTCTGTATTTCGAAGGGGATTATAACAAAATATCAAGTGTGCTATATTTTTGGAAAGGTAATTTTAGATTCTTTCCAGTTAATTAAAAATATAGAGGGTGTCCCAAACAAAAAATTAATTTTTCTGTTGATAAAATTATACCTAAACCATTAAATTCTACGTAAAAAGGTGATTAGGAAATGTTTTCATAGAAATACAAAATTTTCCATAGCAAAAAAGTTACAGCGATTTGTTAAAAATGCACATTTTTGAAAAACACCCCGTAACTCCGAAACGGTAACAGATATTGATGTGCGGTTTTCACCATCATGTTTTTGATGAAAATTGAGCTCCAGACACCGATATTAGTTTTCGTCTATCTCATATAGAAAAGGGTGTTTCCATTTAAAAGCGTCGAATTTGACCCACCCTGTACATTTCATCAGAACTCTCCATTCAAAAAAATACTATATTTTCACCATCCCGAAAAATTTCGCCTCCATATATTTTGTTGTTCTGACCCGGTGTGCAAAAATTACAAATAGGGAATTTTAATGAATATACGAGAAAACACCTTATACAGGGTTGTTCACCACATACGACACTGAGTATTGTAGCTAAACGATTAGATTTTTACAAATTGTAAGTTTTGGGTTCGTTAAAGGACTATGAGAGCTATAATTTAAAAATAATTTTACAGATACAAAGCGTCCCAAATAAGTAAAAAATATAATAGT